ATTGTGTCCATTTCCCTTAGCACTATCAATAGCTAGCAGAAACACACATTCAAAATTATATTAACCAGTGAAAGGATCAATTACAGCACCTTGGCAGAGCTCAGTATACATACATATACAACCAATGCCCCCTAGAGCAAAGAAAATCCCTGTGGTCTCAGGCATCTCCCATGCCTGTGATCAAATGTAAGGTATGCAACAGGAATATTATTTTCCACTCCAACACTGTACTATAACATACAGCATTGGGGTGGTGGGGGAAGACAGATTCTGTCTCACATGCCTAAAGAGTTCCTTGAAAGAATCAACAAGCATATAGATTAATGAAAACCTAATTTATACTGTCTGCCAAGTTCTCCAAAAGACTTCTTAGGAAGTGCTTCTTTGAACATACTTAAGGAAATAAAACAGCCATGGAATGAGAGAAAAGAGATAAACCATAGATAAATAACTAAGAAAATAGAAGACAAATGTGGTGTGCTCTCAGAGGCAGAGACAGTCATTGAAGTTCTGCTGGGACACATGCTATTGCACACATTAATAAAAAATAACAACAACAAAACCCTTTCATTAAAACAAAAACAAAAACCCACACCAAAACCCAAACAAACAAACAGAAACAAACAAAACAACCAAAAAAATCAACCCCCCAAAAAACCCCAGAGATGTGACAGTTTAAACTATTTAGGATAGTTGAGGTGCAAACCAAATGTGGAGACCTGGAGATCTCCAAGCCTATGTGAATGTTAAAGCAACAGGCAAAATTTGATGTAGAAATGTATACATATATATACATATACACACATGAAGAAAAAATCCTAATCCATCTGGGCTCCAACTGATGGTCACCACTCATAAATTACATACTTTGGTTATGACTGTGGCAAAACACCAGTTCAATACTTGCTTTTCCAACCACGGACTGAATATCAGGAATAAAAAAGGGGGAAAGAAGAAGAAAACAAAACTGTTTGTTCACAACTTGATTATCATGTGCATTTCTGGAACTTCCTCCATTTCAAAATGAACAAAAGTGGAAAAACTTCAGAGAAAGAACAGACGGTAGAGCAATAAGTATGGAATAGCTTCTATGTAAAGAATGACTAAATATGTGTCTTCAGTTTGGAAAAATTATAGGGTTAAGATGGGACAAGATTTATCAAGGTTTATCATATGGAGAGGGACCAGATTAATTTAGAACTTAATCTAAAAATCTAAATTCACCAAAAAATGAGAAACTAATCCAGTTTCATATAAGACATCTTTTTCTGGTCTACAAGTTGTTGGAGCCTGAAAGACCACGTGAAAAACTGTATCATATTTGCCATCCCATGCTCATCCCTAGACCTGAGCCTTTAGCCACAATTGGAAACACCATGCACACTACTGGCTAGGCACATGAACAAGGCAGAGAAGGGTAACTAATCCATGGAGATGAAAAATAATTGAAGACATCAGTCTGCATTTTTTCAGGATACAGCAAACTGGATGAATCACAATGGGATGAAGGGGAACATGCAATACTGCATTTTTCTGTACAGTAAGTTCTGAACTACAGACTGGATCTGTGTTTGAGTAGAAGTTGACTGAAAATACACCAGACATCTCAGTAGTTTCCCTCCATTGCATATATATACATATATATATATATCTGTATATACACCTCTGCCAACTATTTCCTGGTTTTCCAATAAACAGCATTATACAGAAATTCACAGCATCCATGCTCTATTAGTTATATGATGAATTCTTGGTAGATGACCAGGTTTGTCACTGCTATTCCTCGTATCTGAGGGTCTTCAATTTGAAAAGATTTTCTAGGAGCTAGTTCTCGTATTAGTTTCTAAATAAAAAAATGCTGTGGTGAGGTAAATAATACTATGGGATGCTAAAAATACGAGCTATGCCTTGAAACACCTGATACGCAGAGCTGCTAATGAAATAGGAAGCTAATCCAACCTTATGAAGTTTTGACATGCCTATCTAACAGAGAGTCACTACAGATATGTGTGAAAACAAAAGACCCAACACAAACCAATCCCAGAATTTCTCATAAAACTTCATACATTGCTGCCTACAACAGAATCGTATTTCCTTCTCTTCTTCAACCAGTTACTATTTCCTGACTACCCTTTCTTTGTAGTATATTATAAACACACTAAAAGACACGGGCACATGTTGTCTGCTACTTTGTGAACATTTGAGTCAGCAGGCCCTCAACTATGTTGTTCAATTGAAGCATTAATTTCCACTCTGCCTCCCTACTCTTCCCAAGTACTACTTTGGCCAGCGCTATAAACCAGCCACATAGCCACTCACAAAAGTATTCTCCTCCTTCACACATGGAAGTGTGTTCACATAATCAGAAAATGTGAAGCTGCAGAATTTCAGATTATTATGAAGGAGCCAAGATCATAGAGAAAGAATATCCCAGGCTACTTACTCCGTTATCACACAGATGAGTATCAGGTAAGAATGTGTGAAAGGGGATAAATGCACAGAATTATGCACTAATTGATAAGTGCCTTGCTAATAAAAATCAAAACTACTTTACTCATGACCTAATGGCTGAACAGCATATAACCTTCTTCCTTCAAAAAAAAACATCGAGTTTGATGGGGCAGATTTTTTGGGCTTGGGGTTTTTTTTGTGTGTGTGTTTGGTGGGTATGTTTTTTTTTAAAAAAAGGCAGTCAAGGAAAAAATGGCTTGGTTTTTAAGACAGATAATTTAATCAAATCAGATAAAATTCTAGATTTCTAAACAACTGGAACAAAATGATATGCTGAGCTATATAGGCTAAAGATGAGCCAAAGGGAAAGTTCCCATTCTCCTCTATTTTACTTTCATCTCTGCTCTTAGCTTGACCCACCTCTTACCTTGACATAACCCTAGCCATTCTCACACTTTTTGCAGGACTCGCTCACCTCAACTCCAAAACAGGGGAAGCATGATTTGGTTTTTTGCAGGAGTTTAGTTTATTCACAGTTTAGCATGTTGAACCAGGCCAGTAAAATGTCTGATGAGCACCAAGGTCAAGTGCAGGCAAAAGGAAGCAAAGCCAGTGATGTAGAGGAGGGCAGTGAAAGAAATATTTACTCTCTAGTTTTTTTCTCAAGGCTGAAGCAGGGAGAAGGGCAGTCCTTCTCTGAGCAGCAGGCTTTTAGATGGGCTTAACGGTTTTTAGCTGTACTAATATTTTAGAATTCTTTCTAGTTTTCAGAAGAATGACTCAAGAATTATTTCATTTCACATCACTAACTTAACAATTCCATACAATACCCAAGTATGTTTTTCACTTCCCAAAACTCTCTATCAGAGTACAGCATGTAATCTTTTAATGAAGTCAGAGCTCTCCAACTATAACTTGCGTACAAATCAATGCCTTCTCTTTTCAGCACTTTACTCTTTAATCCCTATGTTACCAGCACACAGGAAGAGTCATAAATAAATTCATCCACTCAAGTGATATAGATCCATAACAGTATGGATGCCTTGCTGACTAGCCCTTCTACCAAAAGAAAATTTGTCCAAACAGATTAATGTCATACTGTTGTCCTCCATGTAGTACAGGAAATAAACTGTTGCCACAGTTTATACTGGTTTGGTTTTTCTATTTCATTTACTTTGGAAAAAGAAGAAGCAATTATTAGAACACTTGCTCATAGTTTGGATTAGACTAAGGGAAAGGCAACTACATGTAGTATATATCTTTTGTGCGTAAGTAGGGGAGAAAGCTCTGGGAGAAAATAATCCAACTTTGTTAGCTTGGTGTTTTACTAGATCAGCTTCCTAAAATAATGTAAATACATTAAGTTTGTCAAATATCTGTTTTCATTCAAATGCTACATCACATTAGGCGATAAGGTATTAGCCTTATTAATCTGTCATCCATACCACAAAAAGGAAAAGATGCCATTAAGAGGAATTGCTCTTTACAAAAAAATCTATTCCCATCACCTGTGATCATCTAACATAATTAAAAAAAAAAATCTTTACAGAAGTATTGATTGTAACACAGTGTCCAAAAAAACGTGCTAGATTTAAAATACTTCTCAGTGCTAGCAGCGATTCACACACCACACTTGGTACTGCTGCCACAACACGCTTTAGCAAGAGGAAGTGTTATGAGCCAAAATTACTGCTTCCCCAGCAGTGCCGCATCATCCAAGTGAGAAAAGCACTAGCGCAGGTAAATACTCATCCCCCTGCAAGAAGGGCTGTCCTGAGCAGCCCCTCACTCACGATGCCTAAGCTCCTCCTCCGGCTTGATTCTGCTCCCCCCAGGAGGCTTCAGGGGCAAGGCCTAGCAAGAGGCAATCTCCGAACACCACGGCATCATGTAGCAACCACCTATTTAACCTGGGACACGGTCTCTGATGCAAAAGCACGTGGCAGGACGAATACCAGGTGCAAGGCAAGTAAAACTGTACTCTTCTTTGCAGTCTGAATCTTTCCTCCTATCCCTCTCTCTAGTGAGCTCCAACAGGACTTGGCTTTTAACAGATCTTAACGGTTGGACTTGATGATCTTAAAGGTCTTTTCCAACCTAAACGATTAACTCTATGACTTTTTACCCCTGCCTGTTGAATGGCCGTGGGCGGCGCTACTCCCGCCCGCTCCCCGTCGTAGGCGGGAAGCGGCCTGACTGCCCCACATCGCCGCGGGCAGGCGCCGCGCCCGGCCGCCTGCGGGCTGCGCCGCTCCTCCGCCGGAGCCGCCCGTGACTACTTCCTTTCGGCCAGCGGCGCTGGCTAATAGAAACAAAGAGAAACAAGCTCTTGGCCACCCCAGGCGCTAGACTTTCACCCTCTCCCGAAGCGCACTTCTCCTGGAAAGATAGTCCCGGCACCGCTCGCTGCAGGGAAGCAATGCGGCCCCCCCAGAGTCTACAGAAGCCCCTACAACGGCGAGCCGGCCCGCCACATGCGGCAGACCCGCTTCTTCCCACACAGGCGCTCTCTTCAGGCGCTGACCCCCAGCACCTCCCCACTCTCTCACCGGTGCCCCGGTCCCTCTCGTCGTCTTCATCTTCTTCCTCCTGCAGCTGCCCATCCCGCTCCGCCGGTCCCCGCTCCTCGCCCTGCGCCTCCACCGGCACCACCGTGAAACTCGTCGGCATGGCGCAGACAGCCCCAGACCCGCTGGCACCTCCTCCCAGGGCAGCGGGCCGGGTGAGCCGGGCGCTGCCGCCTCCCTCACGTGAGAGCCATTTCCTCACGCGGGGGGGCGGTGGCCGGCACCGCGCCGCCGCCCTTTTGCCGCCTGACTGATGGCGCTGCGGCCGCAGCTCCGAAGGGAGAGGCCCAGGCCCGGCATCCTCTCGGTCTCAAATCTTGCCTTGCAGTTATCCTTCTAGTGCTAAGACCACCGGGCGGCTGCTCTTCTCGTACCACCAGACAGAAACTGCCTTCCAAAGAAAACCAGAGATGGGCTCTAGGGCCCTGATTCTCCAGGTCACTGAAGGGATGACATCATCCAGAAGGCCCAACCACGAGATTTACGATTCACCTTTTGGACAAGTGGAGGAAGAAGTCCACTCTGCCTTTGGACTACCGGGAGATAAGGATGGTTCCCAGAAATCTGGTCCCCTACACAGCAGCTATGCTTTGCAGAGGACAGGTGAAGGTCCTGTGATTCAGGTTGGAGTCAGCATGTAAATTCTGACCTGAAGTAAAGCAGATTCAAAGAATCAATGGATGAGCAGTGTATCAAATTAAATGTTAATGATATAGCACTAGTGATGAGCTGTAGTTCCTGGTTATCTCAGACTTCCTTCCCAGGGGAGGTTGTGTTGTAGCATCTCCACTGCAAAAGTAAAGAAAATGGACTTAGAAGCGAAGGGCATTTTTCTTGTCTCCTGCTATTCTACATTCCCAGCAAAGTGCTAGAATAGAGCGTAAAGACTCTATTCACGTCTGTCTGTATCTATGCCTTTTGGAAGGACATTCTGGTGGTTTTGTGGGTCCAGTGCCTCAGTGGGATATATGATTTCTACCTAACACTACAGCCTGTCCCACTACATAGAGGTCTTCAGAGAAACGGGTAGGGAAAGTGATTCTGGCCATCAAAGATGGCAGTGAAGTGGCAGATGTGGAGACAGTGGGGCAGCAAGAAAAAGAGAGATGCATTCGATACTTGGTATGGACTTCCAGTTCCACCCCTATTTAAACCATAGTGTCACTACAGTAATGAGAATAGTGGCTGCATGAGAAAGGAGTTTCTTCATCCTTTTTTGGAGCTTAAGAAAGCAACTGGAATGGTGTCTTTGCTAATGACAGCATTTTGCAATATTAATGGTGTTACCTGTAGAGGCAAGGATGTCTGGGGGAATTTTTAATGTTAAAGCTCATTTTGTTATGGTACAGACTATTACCAAATTAATAGTGTGAAGGAACTAGATACAACAGTGAAGTAGAATAGTAAATGTAATTTTGAAACATATACACAAAATAATAATTTCTTTTTCAAACGAAAATTATTTTTTTATTATTATTTTTGGCCGTGACAGAGTTATTTTTTTTTGCCGTAGCTGTGAGGGGCGGAGCCTGGAGCCTTGTGAGCGTGGCTAGTTTATTCTGTACAACCTCACCTCATTGCTGGGGGGCACAAGTAAGGGACTCTGAAAAGCAGGTGAGCATGGCTTGCAGTCAAGGAAAAAAGCATAGTGGCCCGAGCTATCTGCTATTGTTTTTCATTATCCCTGATTTGGTGAGCATTTTTGCATGCAAATCACCCACTTTTTGTAAATCTTTTTTATTAGTATTGTTGCTGTCACTGCTCATTGTTCTTTTATCTCGTTGCTGTTTTCAGTAAATTGTTCTTATCTCAACCAGTAATCTCTGCCTTTTGTATCTCCCAGCAGAGGAGGAGGGGAGCAGCTTGTGTTTTCTCTTTAATGGAAGTACTAAATAGGCAATACCATTCCTAAACCATGCAGCAAAATGCAATGTATAAGGTATGAGGTCATGTATGAGTATTGAGAAGAAAATTTTCAATGGCTCATCATCTGTAAAGTAACAGATGATCAGCTATTGATCAGCTTTTGTGCATGCAGTATTGTACTGCATGCACAAAAGATTGAGTGGGGAGAAATTAGAACGGCAGCCTTCATTTTACTCCAACCTGTTACATTTTTTTTGTCTAAAGTAGCTAAGAGCCAAAGAAAGAGAAGCTTTGGACCAAACAACTTTTGAGTGAACAGAGGCAGCACTTCCTCTTCCAACTGTCTTCTGTCATAACCATGGAGAACCATCTGATTGAAAAATAGGCACAGTTCAGCATGGGGTTGTGGGTTGTCCCTCATTACAGGGACACCCTGTAATATGAGAGCTGTGTTTTGTGAGCCTCTCTAACAGTTATTGCACTATGAGGACCTGGGAGTGGGAAAAGTAACTCACTTCTTACGTTTATTTATTGTCACTTTCTTTGAAATAGCATAAGTAGTGGTGTGGTGCATGCCACCTTTAACAACTGACTACTCTGATGGTACGCTTCTTGGAATAAGAAATAAAAATAGAGCATAAGTAGAATAAGACTAAAACATTATATAGATCTGTATCTAAAAAGCATGGCATTCATTACATTAATGTTTTATTTAAAAAAAATAAAAAAGGAAAAGCTTTCAGTCTGTGTTGTTCCCTGAAAACAGAGCTCTGCATCACCATAATGCTGTTTGGCAAGAAAGGAAAGCAGCGGGTACAGCATCAATTCAAACAGATACATCCAGATGGAGCTTTAGAAGTCATTCCTCTTGTTAACAAAAATGGATTTGAGGGCTGAATATTCTGAATATTCTATTAACATCCCCCCTGAATAAACTAAAAACAAGAACACATGAAGATCTGTGAAAGAAGCTAGTTTATATACCAAGAATAGAAAAAGGCTAAAATTAATGCTAACAATTAATATTGTTAGGATCTAAAACAAGACACCTGAGACACTTCTACCTTCACACTGCCCCTGCATCAATGGACTCCCTTTAAGTTCAGGCCTGGGCCTTCTGTCCCTGTGTGATCTATGCCATAGGTACTTTCTTCAAGTTTCATCACAGCTATGCTTCATCGTGAGCTTTGTTGATCCAGAACTTTGCCTGCTTGCCTCACTTGGGCACTGTGGAACCAGTGTCTGGCTAGAGAAGCTCCTGCCCTGCTAGCCTTTGTCATTGTGCATTTGCTTTCCCCAAAGGGAGCAGTCAGGCCTGTTTCTTGATGCTTGTCTGAATGAGGCCGTGAGTAACTTGATCTACCCTTGAAAATTTGCTCTTAGGGTAAGAAGCTGCACTAAATGACCTCCAGAGATCACACACTACTTTCTGATTTTGTACAAATGCAACCACTAGCCCACATCAACTAGGCAGAACATAATCTGCTTTTTAACAAAACAAAAAAACAGAGAAGGAAACTAGAAAGCTTGGTATAGTATCTGTTGCCTTCAGCATCTGCTTCTGCTCTCTCCTTTCTACTTTTGCCTCTCCGTGCCAGTATTGTGTGGTATGGGGACATCATGAAACCTACCTCCTATAGTTTGCCATGCCATCTAGGAAACACTAAAAGTATATTAATTAAAACAGGAAAAAAACCACAAAACCCTGCACTGCAAACCTCTCTGTGGGATGAAGGTAGGAAAACCAATGTTTGCTTACACTAGCATAACTTTCACATACAGCTGTTCCTCATTGTCGTCGCTGAACCACTACACTTGGGGAGAGAAAACATCATGAAAGTATTTAAAACAACTATATCTCATGAAGTTGTCCTCTGCCAAAATTAATAGTTTCTCCTCTCTCTCAATGGCATCTGGTAGACACAGTTGATACTGACTTGCAACATAAGGATTGTAGGTTAATCATTGCCAAAATTTGAATGACTTGTGAAACTAGTTTCATAATGCCAAATAAGTGAGGAGAATGTAGAACCATATTAAAAAAAAAAGGTAAAGAGTTCCTTAATGTCAAACGAGTGGTGGGTAAAAACATTAGGATAATACAATAGCATATTACCTTTGTTTTGATACTACTTTGCTTTAACTTTATTATTCTGCTGACAGAATTTTTACTTGTCAGATAAAAAGTCACTGCATAATCCAATTGCATTGCTTTTCTTCTGAAGGGAAACTATGCTCAACTCAATGCTAGGAGTCACTTCTGTCCCATGAGAACCCCTCACTGAGCAGCAACACTACCTGGTTCCCTGATATGCACTCCTTGGAAGAGTGAGTTCTCTGCTGGACAGCACTACATTTTCAGTAGAAAGGGTGGGGAGTAGCTTTTTGCATACTCATTAAGAATATTATTTTGGGACATGGGCAATGGCACGTTGAATCCCCTCAGGCAATAAATGTTTGGAATCCACTTGTAGTACTCCAAGTAACAGGTTATTATGAAAAAACTAGGCGCTTCACCTTCTCTTTTTAATTAACTAACTTTTGACTGTTATATGCCATATTTTTTAATGTCTGCTGAATGAGGCTCCTCAGAGGACATAGGCAAAATTGGGTGCTTCTCTGCTTTGTCTGAAGGGCAGTGAATCTACACAAGCATGCTAATTCTTCATGTCTGAAGGTGCTCTAATTCCAACACTAAGGAATTTTTCAAATTGAAAATTAGATAATGATTGATCAAGCAAGGTAGTGTTAGCTTTAGTGTCAGCAGTAGTGTTATAAGGGAAGTACGTCATCTCTATTGCCATCTTGGACACAGACACCTGAATCCCTCCCATGTGTTGTATTAAATGCCAAGGAACATGGCCTTCATGTTCATGGCCAATAATGTTCATTATTGTTTATAATTGAGTCTTTGAAATATTGGAGTATTTTTTGTAATCAGCTTCATAATCATAATCCCTCCATAAATTATGCCGGTATCAAGGATTCATCTTAGTTGAACATTACCTTGTAACTTGTCCATCACTATCAGCTGAGAATATTTCACCTATATAGAGACTTCATAGGTATAGTTAGAAGCGACACAGTAAACCTATCAGTTTTACATTAAAAATACATAAATTGCTTCCAAAATGTTGAAATTAAAGCTCTCAGATGTTAGTTATAGTTTATCTTCCTTTTAATTTCCCTATGCTTCTCTGCCAACATATTTTTTCTCATTATTGGAGTGTTGTAAAACAAAGATGGAATCAGAAGTTCTATGAACTGCAGTAGCAAACTGCCCAATTATTTCTCAATAAAGAGAGCAAATATCTTTTATGTATCAAGGAAG